TTTATGTAAAATCACGTTTTTTTGCAGAAGTTATGAGCGCTGTATATTTCAAATTCAATGAAACATTTTTGTTCAATTCAAAATCATACATACAATTACATATACCCCAACATCAATAAAAACAAGTTTTTTCAGTTTCATCTCCATTTCTACTATCGGTTATGGCGATTTTGTTCCTGTGCCTGACACATGGACACATACTGTTGCGATTATGATGTTCTTATCTGCAGGTAAATGAAAGATTCCGTCGAAAAAAAGACTGCCTAGAGGTTAGGCTTGTTTTTAAGGTGTCATCATTCTTACCACCCTATTCGAGACCTTCAGCTACTACCTCAACTATATTCATTATATTGGACGGTATGTACTCTAGTTTGAAGACGTTTGAGAAGATCAGATGCAAGAGCTTAATGAGCTGACGAATCGTGTTACAGGAGATTTACGGGTACGAAAGACATCCAAATATGGTTTGGGGGAAGAATGCTTACTGTCCAAGAACTCATAACCATTGTAGCGGAAGAATTTAACGTGAGTAGCAGTAGGATTTAATTGATCACTCGATGACTAGCTGCTTCCAAGTAAATATCTTTATAGGTGTGTCCAAGAAAACTGAGGACTATAATTCATGATCTTGACGACATTCTTCATGCAGCTTGTGATGATACAGTGAGAATACAAGTAAACTTATGCTCATGCGAACAATCCCATTTAATATTTGCTAGTTTAGATAAAGAATCGAAGCGAAATGCTGTATAAAACGGGTGAGGTGATTCGGAATGAGGTTGGTACCTTTTCTTCTTACCACATGTCAACTATATTACTTGAATTTTGACTAAAAAGAATGAACCAAAAAGTAAATACCTTCGATCGTATTTGGAACTTGTCTAATTATCAAGCTCGTATGATATACCCAATTCAAAATTAATCATAAGCATTTCTGTGAATTAGTTTGGAGCAAATATTTGGAAAGCGGCCTCATTTTAAAATCGCTTTCCCAACTTTCCCCACTTTCTTAACTTTGTAGCACTGATAATGCTCCTCGGTCTCGCCAGACATGGTTAGTTAGAGCTACATACAAGGTTGATCTGTACTCACATAAAAACGAAAAACGCATGTAAGAAAACCACTGACTACTAGAAACGACTGATTATCAATCTGACGTGCCGCTAGTACTAGTTAATGGTA